AGCGTAGCGCTAGATGTGTGAGACCAGCACACTCACTCTCTCATCCGAGGGAGAGCAGCTGCCCGCGTCTGATTTGCATTTTGTTCCACCGTTCAGCGAGAAGTATTTCAGTTGACAAATAGGATATATTTACCACTGCAACAGACACTTGGCAGTTAGTTTTTAACAATTGTTGCAAACGTGATTTATTTGCTATTATAAAGGGGCATTACTGTGCGAATATGACTCCTGAAATTAGCTCCAGTTTAGCAAGAGGCCTTGACAGCTTGACCTCCTAATCTCCTTATAATGATGCCATTTACAGTCAATGCTCACTCAAGTTGCTCATGCTAGATGCGTGAGCGAGGAGTCCACTCTAGGGCAGATGCAGTATGTATTTTAACATACCGAGTTGGTGTGGGGGGCACATGCAGGCCTTCCAACAGGCAAAAAAAAATGTTTAATCAAGTCTTCATGAAAATGTGTTCGCTTCCAACTTCCTACAGTGAAAATGCATTACTGCTAATTACCGCATACTCCAGAAATACAATACTTCATGTGTTCTCTGCAAGACACTTCCAAGGCAGGGATGATATTAAACAAGAACATGTTTGGATCCCTAGCTCTTCATTTGGCTGGGAGATTGGTACAGGGTGAGGACGGCTGGGCCAGGACTAGTGCCCATCTCTTCCAGCAGGACTGGACTCAAAGCCCAGCACTACCACTTCCTAGCTAGGTGGACTTGGGTACCACTCTGAGCCTCTGTTTCTTCATCTGTGGCATGGGATCTTATTCCTTGGGTTTCATAAAGGCCAGAGGTGTTGCTTGTGAAGTACCTGGTGCACTGTAGGTACCTGACAAATGGGGGTTCAGGCGACCCCTCTTCTTAGGCTCAGCCATGACGTCATGAGGCAAGCCTAGTCTGTCTTTCCTGATTACTTCAGTAGTACTTGGTTCTTTGCCTATGTTCATTGAATACAAGAGTGCCTATCCGCTCCTTCTCCACCGTAGGATCCCTGACGGTGTATCTATCCATCGCCAGTGCCTTCCACAAGGATATGCCTTGAGCAGGGAACTGAGGGCACCGGGCTACTTCTGAGTTAAGTGGGGACAGAATGACACAGAACAAACCGTGATGCCTGGCAAAGGAAGGCGGCGAGGTAGCACAAGACCCACTTTTGCTGTCACAAACCCAGCACATAGTAGGTGCTCAGTAAATATTTTGGTAAGGAATAAATGAACATACCCAGTTACCTAGTAGCTCGTCCTAACGTGAAGCCTACATATGGCTAGTTGCCAAAGTACTTCCTCGCTGTGTCCTCCCAGCTGCCCCATGGCACAGCGAGGGGGGGTGTCATCCCTTGTCCACAACTGACATCATGGTGACAAAGAGAAAAATGGCGGTAGAGCTATGACGTCCATGCCAACTGGGAGTGTCCTCAGACATCATACTGAAATTCCCAGGGGCCATTGCTGCTTTTTCCAAACTCAAGAGCAACCCACCCTTTTCTGTGTCTACTCAGCTCCCCCACTTTCTACAGCGGTTACACATTGGGCTGCTGACCGCCAGGGTCATAGTTCAAAACCACTCCATGGGCGAAAGACAGAGCTTTGTACTCCCGTAAAGAGTTACAGTTGTGGAAACCCTTAGGGGCAGCTCTACCCTGTCCTATAGGGTCACTACGCGTTGGCATGGACTCGATGGCAGTGAGTTCAGCCCCCTGCCCTCTGAAACTTCAGTCCAGTTTTTTTTTCCTTAGTAGATAAAAGTGCACTTAAGCTCCTCCCTTGGGGCCTTTTGGGGGTGCAACTCTGGGGACCCAGCCCTGTTGCCGGATGCCTTCCACTGCTAGCCTTACATGGGCATCTTCATTCGCTCCTTTTGTGGAATGCAGTTCTCTGCCGTAAAGAAATGAGCTGGTTCACATCTGTGCTGACAGTCTGGCCTGGGCCTCCCTTGTCCTGCGGACGACTTGAAGGGAGACGCGTTGCCAGAAGGAAATACTGCACCCAGGGTAGTGGGTGGCCATCCCGGTTCAGGCTTTACCTCGAAGCTCAATGACAAGTGTCGAGACAGGGACGCTACTAATGGGGGCAGGCGAAGGGGCAGCTGTTTCAGCCAAAGATTGAGGTGGTCAAACTCCACTACTATTGAAGCTGTAAGGCAGAAAGGAGCCGTGTCAACTCCCCCGACACAGCTGAGGACTTGTGAGCCGGGAGAGCCACAACTTCTCCAGACACCTGGGGCAGGAGCAGAGACATGGGCTCTTTGGGCATTTAACAGCTAACCATGCTAGGAAAACTTCAAAAGCATTTGCAAATGGCCAGTATCAACGCTCTCTATGTTGAAGAAAAAGTATTACTTGTTGTGAGCTGTCCCCCAGTATTGGCTCTGCTGGCCTGGGCAGGCTATACTTAACCCTTGAAATCCTTTTTGTTGGCTGCTCAAACCTAAATCCAGACTTGCTCACTGATAAGCCCTCTGTTGTTACTGAGAGAATCCTTACCTCTAGTGTGTTCGTCTGGGTACATTAGAGACACAAATCCTCAGAAACTCATATGTATAGGAGAGAGTTTTATATAAAGGTTACATTAAAGTGACCAGATTTAAAGCGGGACACCACTGACTGGGGGCGGGGGGGGGGGGTTTTGATTAAAAATTTGGTCTATATGGACCAAATAGACCATTCCCTAGAGTGTCGTGCATTCTTTCCAAAAATCGGGACTTTTTTAAAACGCCAAAAATCAGGACTGTCCCGACAAAAGTGGGGCGTCTGGTCACCTTAGGTTAAGTGCACATCAAGAACACAGCCCAACCCACTGCTGCCCAAGCCCACAAGTCCAACATTAGCCCATATGTCCGACATCAATCCACAAAATCCTCCTCCATCTCATAAAGCATGCACAATGAAGCCAACTGCAGGAGGAAAGCCGAGTCAGTGAGCGTGTAAGCATCTCAGTGCTGGCAGGGGTCTCCACGCGGCTGCTCCAGCACCCAGGGCTGCATCGGGGTAGGTCCATGCAACTTCTCCTGGGGGATGTCTTGCAGGAAGTCAGCCTTGCCACCTGAAGCTGGGAACTGGCTAAGGCGGCTGCACCCTGGTCCGACCATCAGAAAGCAAGAGACCCGAGAACTAGAAAGGAGGCTCCCCAAGCCATTTACCTCTCTGCCCTTCAATTAACCCCACATGTGTTTATCAGCCAGGTCGGCCCAATAAACTTTAACTATCTCATCTAGAAACCTCGTTTGAAAACACTTGTTTTACACAGCAATTTTAAATTCATTAAAACTTGCCTTTTGTCAACAAAGCACTGTTGTTTAGATTAAAAAAAAAACAAAAACAAAGGAAAATACTGCATTCACCACCTTAGAAATAGCAAACCACAGGTAGAAAAATCCAAATCCCACGCCACCAGCCTTTCATGTCAAGGCAGCAGTGTCTGATTGTCAGAGCCAGGTGTTGCCACTGCAGCTCGGGAGAGTGGCGGGGTCGCCGCCCGGGGCTTCCTGGCGCCTGTCTGTCGTCATCGCCCTCACCTGTGTCTCCCGTTCTCACCAGGTGTGGGCCACAGACCTGGACTTCGCCTACAGTAACCAGCTAGCCCTGACTCAGCTCGCCTTGTACCTGACCAACGGCCGTCTGGATTGCAACATGAGCACCTTCGAGGTGCCCCGCTTTGTCCCGAAGAAGAAAAGGACCCACCTTGAGATGCTGGCGATGCCGGTAAGCAGCCGGCCATTTTCCAAGTGTGCCCTGAGCTCAGCTCCGCCCGGCCGGCGCGCCTGAGTCCGTGCTACCGCGCCAGGCCCTTTGAGGCCGGAGAGAAGAAATCGCCAAGTCACATGGCCTCTCCAAAGTGGGTCCCAGGGAGGCTTTCTGGGTGCCTTGGTCTTGGGAAACGGGGAGCGCAGGGCGTCAAGAGGAAGGAACAGGTGTCTGCGGGCGTCCCTCGGCTCTCTCCTCAACTTAGTTCCCTGGGCAGGTGGCCCCACAGCTCCAGTGGCAGCTGTTTCTGACAAACCCATCCGCCTCTGGCCCAAATCTCTTTTCTGAGCTTCAGCTTCCTGGACCTAGTACCGTGCAGAACTGTCCAAAGCTACGCTCCTCCTCTCCCCTCCAGCCGGCTCCGCCTCAAGCTGCCTCAGGTGTCTCAGGTCAGAGGCTGATGGGACACGCCCTCACCTCAAATTCAGTAGAAACCGGGTTGTGCCAGCTGCTGAAAATGCCTGGGATCAGCTCTGACCCTTGCCCTCCCTCCACTCAGAAGGTGCCTTCTTTTCCGCTCTCACATCCCTCTCGATCAGTCAGCTCCCACACTGCGCATCCACTAGCATCCCACCAAGAGTCCCGCCCCGCCGGCCCCCACCTCGAACAAGCGTGACTGTCCATACAGCCAAAGCTATCAAAGCCAATCTGATCAGGTGGCTACCCGGTTGATGATTTTTAAATGACCCCTGTACCTTCAAGGAAACCCCAACTTCCAAGCTTGACTGCCACGGCTCCTCAGGATCTGCCTCTTCCCACCACCCCAGCGCCTCCGAGCACAAGCCTGTTGACGGGATAGCTGCAGCGGCAGGGCCGGCAGCCCCCAGGCTGGTTGAGAGCGACCCTCTGTGCCCCTGGTGTGCAGAATCCAGGGTCACTCTCCACGGGGCTATGGGCTCCTGGGCAGCAGGCGCAGATGGTCAGGAGAAGGAGGAAGGAGACCAAGGGGACAACAGGGACATTCGCGGAAGTGGGATATAGCACGTGGGCTTCCATGTGGGTGGGACTTTATATATAGAACACGTGGACTTTCATATAAATGGGGTATAACGTATGCACTTGCATGTATAACACGTGGGCTTCCATGTGAGTGGGAGGTAACATGCCTCGGGCCTTCCCACACAACAGTGAGTTTCACACCCTCTGGCAAATGCAACTCAAAATCCAAATCCAGCCAGAGAGGAACTCTGGGGATTACTAAATAGGCCCCACGCCGGGGCCTTTTCAGACAAGTAACTTGTGCCTCTCTGTGGAGCCTGTTCAGGTTCAGGACCCACTGTGGCACCTAAAGGGCCTTTGTTTGGCACTACCCAGCGTGCCCACAGTCACCACCGTAGGCAGGAACTCGGTGTACCGTCAGGCCACCCGGAGAAAGTGCAGATGTCTTCAGGGGCACAGGCCCCCATGCCCTGTCCTCTTCCATCCGGGCGTTTTGAGAAGACCAGCATCCGTCTTGCTCAGGGAACCACCTTGCTCGCCTTGCTACTTCAGGAAAGATCTGTAATTGGACTGGAGAGGAGCAGTGTGGTCATGTGCCACCAAGCGGTGGTGTCTGGCACATAGCCACCCTGGGTGACAGAGCACACCTACTCCTTAGGGTAAGGTGACCAGACGTCCCTCTTTTGGAGGGACAATCCCAATTTTTGGTGTTTTTTAAAAGTCCCGGTTTTTGGAAAGAATGCACAACAAGCTAGGGAACGGTCTATTTGGTCCATATAGACCAAATTTTTCTTCAAGAATTCCCCCCCCCCCCCCCATCAATGGTGTCCCGCTTTAAATCTGGTCACCTTACCTTAGGGGGCTCTTGGCGGATGCCTTTACCAAAGCCCATCACCCGCTCCTTCTTCGGTAGAGCCTCCAGGTTGGTTCTAACCGTGTGCAGCCAAGTGGCTACCCACTTCATCACCAGGGATCCTTGGAGGGCCAGTGAGCCCACGGCGACCCTCTGCAGGGTTTTCCAGAATGTAAAAGTCTTCACAGGGTCAAGCTCATCTTTCTCCTGGTAAGTGGTCGGTGCGTTTAAATCGTCGTCCCGGCAGCTACCAGTCCAATGTTTACGGGAGGAGAACAACACAGCACTGTGTAATACAATACAATACAATACACACTGCCATCTCGTCTCGACCGTATGGGACAGAGAGGACCGTCCCTGGGGGTTCCCAAGGGGAAAAAGCCCTGACTTTGGGGAGGAGAACAAGACCTCTGTTCGTTAGGGCCCAGAAGCTTACTGAGAACCTCTCAAGTCTGACCCCGCTTTTGACCGCTTTCTCCACTCTCGGGACTCCTCCTTCCCACCTCCACCCTGGGACCTATCAGGACTCTAGGGAGTTGCAGGACCCCAATCTCATGCTAAAGGGAGGGGCAGCTTTGAAACAGCCCTTTCTGATGAACCCACCTCCCTCCCTGCCATGTCTAAAAGCTGCAAAGAAAGGGAGTTGGTATTCAATACAAGACTGCCGAAGCCCATTTGCCGCCCTCGAACACGCTGCCTGAGAAGGCTGTAAGCAGGAAGGAGCTGTGCTTTGAATCAGAGGCACGCTCCCGTTTTGCATTCCTGCCTTTAGACTTCATTCCTCGCCACAGGCAACACTGGGGAATTCTCCTGGGATCAAGAGTCTTAAACACGTTTAGGAATTGCCCCCACACAAGTGGGGAGCATGACGATCTCCGGTAATTTAAATTATGATCTCCAACCAGAAAGACTCTTATCCAATGCATGGGGAAATGGAAAGTGTTTGGGTTTTAGAAAGAGAGATGGGTATTCTCACATCGTGCCACTATGTGGTGTGTGGTGTGTGGTGTGTGTATGTGATGGAGGGTAGCTTTTTCAAAGAAGCATGCACACCAGGACGAGTGTGAGCACACTGGTGCCGCCAGCCCCCTCTGGAGAGGGAAGGAAATGCACAGGTGAGCCACATGACAATCGGGCACATTCAGAACCAACACCTGGAAAGTGCTTCCCATGGGGGCCCATCCCGTGAATCAGCCGCTATGGGCTCTGGACTCTCCAATGAGCTGTTGCCCCATATGACAAAGGAAGGCGACCACCTCCACGTGCGCAGGCCCAGTTAGAAGCGGCTTCTGACTCGGTGCCCCCCACGCGCAGCCGCTCACCCCGCAAAACCAGGCCTGAGCAGATGGACCTCAGTGGTTGGCCGGAAAGGACTTCCCTGACAACTTCCAAACAGCAAACAAACTTCTCATGGAAGTTCCGCCAGGATTGGTCCAAACCGTTTCCCTCTTCCATCTTTCTGTGTTCAGTCCTCTGTCTTTCCGAGTGGCGGCGCAGTGGGTTACAAGAGTCGGTCTGCCTACCACTTGGTCAGCAGTTCGAAACCACCAGCTACCCCCGGCTGTCCGCACCCATCAGGATTCACACTCTCAGAACCACCGGGGCAGTTCTGCGTGTCCTGTCTGGTTGCTCGAGTCAGAATTCACTGACAGCAGTGAGTTTGGTTAAAAGTTTGGGTTCTCTGTCCGGCCCTCCACTCGAAGGATTGGCGAGGGGCCTAAGGAGCTGGTCCACGCAAATATCTTACCAACCACCCCTGTCATCTACACACATTTTTAACAGCACACGATCTGTAATGAATGATTAAGTAAAACCTTTTGTGTTAAATTATGATGTTAATAATGATTCTGTCTCCTGTAATTTATTATGAATTCTCCAAAGCTTCGGGTTTGATTTTGATCGAATGCAACAACAACGGAGTTTATGTGATGACTTTATTTTTAGAACTCCTCCTTTGAAGGGGCGCATTTTCCCTGCGACTGCTGCTACTGTAATTATGTACAAAACCAATCACTCATTAGAGTTAGGATACATTATCTTCTAGACAGATGAGGCTAAATAAGCAACACATTAATAATTCAGAGAGCAGTTCATTATGCATGTGGATGCCTGCTTCGTAACTGAAAGAGGAACCTCATCAGCCTGTGCCAACCCTTAAACAATAGTCCTGTGTTCTTGCAGCCACATGCACGTTTACGCTTGTTAAACTGCTGCTTGGATTATTTTATCAAACATTCATTTATTTGTGGTCCCTTACTGCCGAGAACAGATTTTGGAAGCTCCTTTTTTAAGTTAATGATTTGAGCAATGGGTGTTATTAATTCTCAGAATATTATAAACATGATTAATTTTCAGGCAGAGATTTATTGCATAAGGATTTCAACTATGTCAACTGAAATGCATCACTGTCAAGACCAGTATCACGGCGAAAACAGACTGCGCGCCGCACTTCAGGAGCCGGCGCTCAGAACGAAATCAATTTAAATTGTGGCGGAAGTAAAATTATATTCTCCAGTGAAAAGGAGTATTTTGAGCTCCCTTTATTTGGCTTGAAGCATTCTTGTTAGATTGTGATTTAGAAAGGTAGTTTAGCAAGACTAGTCTTCTACCAAGAATCTTTCATCTTCTCTCTGAAACAGCACCACCCCCCCTCCGCCCCCCCAACACACACACCCTGTTTTCACTAGCCGAGCTCAATGGTTAAAGAACAAGGCTGATGATTGAAAAGACGGGCAGATAGTTCTAACCCACCCACCACTCGGAGGGAGGAAGATGAGGCCATCTGCTTCCATAAAGATTTGCCGCCTAAAAAATAAATAATAAAAATAAATAAATGAAATAAAAGATTTGCCGCCTCGGGAACCTGAGGGGGCTGCTCTGCTCGGCCACACAGGATGGCCATGAGTCGGGGTGCACTCCGAGGCAGTCGTGGGTAACAGGTTTGCTGGACAAGGCTGCGTTTGGAAAGTTCCACACATTCCAAATGCGGCCAATGGGTGTATGGAGTGAAGAGCAATGAGCTGAGAGTCACGGATCAGGAATTTGAATCTTCCCTCTGGCCTCGGTGTGTGCATTACAGGATGCTGTTCAAAGCCTCTTCAAGATACCTGCTTCTGTGGGGCCTGTCGACTTGGGCTTACATCTGGCAAAGTGCAGGAGGGCAGAG